GATTACCATGATAAATTTAGTCCGCAGACCGGCCTGAATTTTCACAAATACTTCGACAACAAATTTTCGATCGATCGTGATGCTTTCACATGCGGTTACATCCACTTCCTTTATAAGCATATATTGTCGAAGACGAACGGCGCGGTTTCCCGAGCGTGAAAGGAAAATACGCGCAGTTCGGCGACGTTGGTCTCCTGGCGCCACTCAGGAATACATAGGAACATTTCACGTTGCGAAATGTTCTATGCTGTGGGTCTCTATGCATTTCAACCGTGAATGAAACTTTAGTCTGAACATTTGAATGCCCTTAGGGTAGTTATTTTATCGCGTTGGGCGATCACTTGCCCTGGGCGATTATATCTTAATCTTCGAACGGCAACCGATTGACCTAGGTTCGGCTATTCAAAAGTTAAAGGAACGTGTTACCTTGTCAGCTTCAAAAAATTGAAATTTTTTTTTGCTTCTATACGTGTAGAATAGTGTAGTAAAAGGGTTTTTTGAAATTCTTGAAATTCACTTGAAATTGTTGTACATTATTCTTCATAAAAATGAAAAGAAGGTTCAGATGTTGACTTAACGTTTTCTGTAAAGATCTATTTATGTTTATAAAACATTTATAGGCGAAAAAAAATATTAGTTTTTTCGATTTCCATACCTACTCCTAACCCTTTCGGTACTAGCGCATACGCGTGAAGAATTTAAGCATCGAATTAACTTCATTAATCACAAAATATCATCGCTTTTCAGTATTCAATAGTAATCCTTTAAATGATTTTGGAATAATTATGTCGTTTGAAACTTTCGAACATTAACCACTGTTTTCTTTTCTGATGACATCGAGGAAAGTTGCTATGCCAACGTGAAAAGCTTGAAAAATTGGTTCAAGCTGGTTTAACTGGCGACGAGAGACCGGAGGTCCGATTGACCAGTAAAACGAACATCTCGACGAGCAACGACTAAACTTGGAAACGAATTCTACGTGCGCCGCATTGTTCGTGTCGCATTGGGATTTGTTCCTTTACGATTCTCTCAAAGCGGTTACCTCTGTTTCATCTTTTTTCGAGTGTGCTCGAAAGCGTATCCTGAAGTAGATCCGTGAACCGTGGATCGTTTTAGCATCGAGCAAAATTCTCGTCGTCTGGTGTGCTTGAAACGCTTCAAACAGAATATTTATTTGGGATACCTTCGTTTTTGAAAAAAAAAAAAAACCAAAAAAAAGTCGATAAAATTGAGATTTCGAGTAAAAGCGAGTTCGGCACTATACTTTTGATTCTCTCAGTAGTTGCATAGCAAGTATCATCAATTTTTTCAAATTTTTCATTCCGGTGCGTCAAACTGGCTCAAGGGCACTTTTCACCATCTTATTCTGCTGTACCCTTTCGAGAATTCCGAGATGACCAAAATAATTCCCGACCCGATCCGAGCATCGAGTAGCTGAAATTTTCGAATTCCCGAATATCTATACTTTCGAGAACCCCAGTTGACCACATCCGACTCGAACAATCTAAGCCTGACCGGGTACCCGAAATTCCGGAATTCTCGCAGGATTCTAATATTTACATTCCGTACAGTAAATAATATTATAAGGTTCGTAAAATCATATTTCGTAGAATGTTTCAATTTCAAGGTATTTTATAATTGATTACGTATGAACCATCATACTGACCGAGATACTTTTAGTGATCGTTTTCATGTAACGATCTAATCGACCTAGTTTCATCTAATTTGAAAGAGAACTGGTTCTCCAGGCAATCCATAAGATTCGACTTTTCATAGCTCTACGTGGTTATTGAATTGATTCGAACGGTCACTGTGAAACGCTTCGTATAGAGTCCTTGTGTAAAGGACAATTATCTTCTGGGTTATTTCACACTTGGAAACGATGATCCTCTGTTAATCAGAAAATTAGTTTCCACCGAGATGCTTCTATTTAATCGAATATGAAAGCCTGAAAGAATACACTTAGTATGTTGAAATTGAATGGAAGCATGAAAATTCCTTTTATCGGTCCTTCAGTGAAGCACTTTCAGTTATTCCTTTCTTGCGCTCATCTCATAGAGATGTACTCGGAAAAAATGCATTTCCAAACGTAAGACAGAGCCTTGAATAACCTTTATGAAACCCCTTATTCTCCTTTCTGTTTAAATCATATTGAATTTTGTAAAAGTTGAAAAGTTGTGTTTTCCTTACCTTGTTAAATTTCGTTATCCTTACATAAGTGGAGGGAGACTGCAAGTTGTTTAAATATCATAAGAGGGGGTCGCGACTCCAAAAATGTTGGGAAACACTGGTCTAAAGAGTAGCTATTTATTAGAAGTCGCGTGAATCAGGAATATAATATTCGTGCAGATTCTTTAGAGAAAAGGAAAAAAAATAAACAAATTAATTAAAGGGGACCCTAAAAAAGTCGCACGAAGAACGACTAATTATATTATAAAATTTGTCGCGTTTCACTTGCATTAAGAATGAATCAGATGATCCAACAATGGTCATATCCTACAATTCATCAGTTCTGAACGATTTGAATAAAAGCCAACCGTGGAAAATTATGCTGCCAGGATCGTCGGTGATAAATCATTGATTTATCGCAATAATCCGTTCCAAACATCTTCCATTCAGACCATGTCAATGCATCAAAAGAGAATGCATAATTCATGCTCCAAGAGCAGTCTAGTGATCGTATGATTCAAGGAAAATCAACACGCCTCGGCTTTATCGCTTGTTTTCTCACTTCTTTCTTTTTCATTTATTCTTGTTTACGATAGCCTTTCATTCATTTTTAGGTGAAGATCTTCTATCAAAGAAATTCCTAAATCACTTCCGGCAGTTTTGTGATTAGATTCTATTTCCAAATGACACCGATGACTAATTGATTGGAAACTAATTGGTTTGTACGCATGACGCAACGATGGTTTCATCTTTTATCAAAGGACGCCTGTCATTCCTACAAATTCCCTTTGAGAACTTCCACGGCAGACGTTAATTAAAAAGAATTGAATTTGCTAAAGGTAGTATTTAAACCCTCAAAGTCAAAAGATACTGTGACTTTGCTCGAATTCAATACTGCAAACAAAATAGCACAATAAGAAAACACAGAATATCTTGGAATAATTATTGGTCTATATATAGTAGTCAAAAGTTTCAAATGTATTTGGTCAAGATTCGATTGTATTTGAAAAAATTCTTATGTTTCTCAAAGTACTTATAAATCGTTTGAACTTATCTCCTATAGATTCGTGGCTGTTTTTTAATTTTCACAATTTCAAAGTTACAAAATTTCGAACTTTCTAAATTCCAGAATTTCAGAACTCCAAAATTCGAGATCCTAAAAACTTCAATTTTCAAAATTCTATAATTTCAAAATCTCTAAGGAACCTAGCATCCTAAAAAAAGATCCAAATAAATCCAATATGCTTTTTATAGGTAATGATTACATTAGAAAGGCTTAGACATGTTTAGACTGTTTGATGATCAAAGTGGAAAAAAATGTATTTAAAAAAAAAGTATCTCAGAAGAACTTTAATGACACCACGTGATAGAGTAAGTTTCTTTTCTACAAGGGGCATCAAGAAAGGCTATAAATCATGTTTTGTATTCAGTAGAGAAGCGAAATAATTTAGCAAAACCCGCAACGCGGACTAACGACCAGCAAGTATAATGTTTTAGGTAATTACATTGTGCTAGATATTATTAATTATCTTCATATTAATAAGAATTACTATAACAAGAAAAACTTAAATGTGTATATAAGAGGATACACAGCATCGTTTTCTCAGTTGCTTATTAATTTAATAAATTAAAACATTTCTTTTTTCAAATTCCAAGATGGATTTTTTTGAGATTACTTAAGAGTATTTCAACATTAAACGAAACTATCCACTTTAATGATAATTATCTGAGCGGTAATTCCTTAGAATAAATCCATTCGCTCACCGCATCAAGATCTTTAAAAAATAAATTTCACGCTGATTACGAGATAATTATAAATTAATGACGTTATATGAAGAAATATTATCAAAAGTCAACGAATTTCTCGTTGATACTCTTTACGTAAGACTTTCACGAGCACGTATTTCAAGAAATTTACAAGACCACTGTATGTAGCTTGTAATTACGATACAATATTACGTAACTTGAATACATTTATGATCAAATCAGGTTTCCATAAGGTAAATGGCGAGAGAGGGAAACCAAGAATTTTCAAAATTTTATTTTTGACAATATTAACATAAAAAGTAATTTAGAAACAAAATAATATAATTTCGAATTATTGAATATTACAAAATTTAGTATATAACTAAAAAGTACGAATAACAAAGTAAATATTCTCAACGTAAAAGTAAGAAGTCATTCTCTTCGGGGATGCCTAAGGGGAAGGGTGGAAACTCGGGACATTATCATTTCTTCTGAGGAAGATAAATTTGTCTGCGAGTGTACTATACGTCATTTCAGATGACATCAGCGTAACGACGAACGTGTTAAATAGATCAATGAATACGATTGTTGGAATGCTCGCGTTCATACAATTTTCCGGCTAATTTCAGTTTAAACGTCGACCATTCGTTACGTAGCTGGTGCTTTGTTATTGTTTTCACGCTCGAATTCACGATTCAAGTGGCGATGTTTTCCGACCAGAAACATGGGACGCGGAGAAATTTTACGTGATATTAATTACGCCCCAACGTAATTAAGTTATTGATTAATCTCACCGTGCACCTTCTCAAAGAGTAAATCAAGTTGCGGATGAATTTCGCGTGAAAACACGAGGGGTTGTTAATCACGTGTCCGCAGCAAGATTTTCGAGCAACTCTTCCTGCGAACATTTTAAGTTCCAATTTTTTTTTATATCAAGAAGAAGCAGGCTTTTTTTTGAATGCTACAAAGCAAACTCCTTTGCACTTACCAATTCATTAAAATAATACATAAATGAAATAATGTCGTTAAGGTTAATTATGTTAGAAAGAAGAGATTTTATAGGAGAAATAATAAATCACACCATATGCATCGTTTAACTCTGTTTATTTATATCTTTTCAAATAATTTTCCCTTCTATTCTACACGCGTATTAATAAATAATAATCGATAAACACGATCGTGTCAAATTTTGTTTAAAAATGAATCGTTAGGAAATTGATGTAATTAAGTACCGTAAGAACTCGACGATTTTTGATACACATATTAATCAGTGTTTTTGTACGACAAATTATGCATTTGCATAACGCGTTAAACATCACGTCGTAACAATAAAATTAGCCTCTTTCCTCGATACCTAGATTATAAGGGCACTTACAAACGTAACCCGAATAAATATCTGTTACGACCGGAAGTACGAACCAAGTGCCAACACCAGGATCATCAGAGCAGAACAGCTGACTATGCTGGAGCCCGAGTGCAACACTATCGACCCTTTTGGAGGAATAGTGACCTTTGATGATGCAAAATTGGTGCTGAAACACAACAGTAGAAAGGAACGTTTTTTAGACTTCCAACATATCAAAATGAATTCCATTTTAAATCTACCCATGATTTTTGTTTTACTATCATAAGTTAGTCGCAATAAATTCCAGAGAATACATTAGTAAAATTCTTATAATCCTACGCTAGTACAATTTTCTAAAAGTTCTCAGATTGAACATAACTTAAATTCGAAACATTCGGACAGATTTATCAAATAATTCATCCAATTTAATTCACTCAACACTAATATTAATTGGGATCCATTTCATTTACTTACTTTGACTGCACACTGGAACCCACGTTAGTCAGGGTTACCTTAGCACTGGCGTATGGTAGTATACTTGTCAGATTAACTGTAACGCTTTTTTCTGAAGAAAAGTTTATCAGAAGCGTCACTGCTTCTTTTGGGATATTCCGTACTACAGCCAACACGTCGTCGTTCAAAATTGCTATGGACAGATTGCCATTTTGGAGTACATTGCTCTTTCGCATAGTTGTTAATGCTTTGTAAAGCTTGTAATGAGACGTGGCATCCGCTTTCTGTTTCTTCAGATTCAGAGTTTTGTAGTTGTAGTGAACGGGTAACCACGTCTTGCTAGCATTACTGAAACCTGCGAGCAAATTTTAATTGGAGACGATACATTGAATCTCAAATTTTCAAGATCGATCAAATTATATATGAAAGGGGTGATATTTAAATATATAAGTATGAAATTAAAATATCGTAGTATCAAATTAGTAGAATTGCACGAGAACCCACAAATTTCGGGTACCCGAGTATCGGGTGGAACTCAACCCGATCCTACACGATCCAACTCAACCAATTTTTACACAACCCCACCTGATATTTTCAGATCCTCACACACTTCTAGAAATCAGACACTATTAAAATTATATTTTTTCTTTTTACCTGCATTCGTAGTGTTGTCCCATTGGAATGGTGTACGACAGCCATCACGAAAATCGTATACACGGAGTTCGGTGTCGTCCAGCATGCCGATTTCCTCTCCGTAATAAGTAACCGCTACACCAGGCAATAACATCTCTAACATTACCATCTGATCCTCTCTGCCAGGGTAACGCGTGCCTAGACGTACTCGATCATGATTTCCCATCTGTTGAAACGTGAATCTTTTTAGCGAATGTAAAATAATTTTATTAAAATTGAAGCTTTCGACTTATGAACAATAACCGCGTTAGCTATGAACTATTGCAATGGTCATTGATGAATACACCGCGAATTTAATACAGTCGATTAATTGAAAGAAAAAAAATTCGTTTAAATATTAATATATGTATATTATTTTTACTTATTTCATTTACTCAACGAATGCTGACAACTCTTAGTTCGCAGTGAACGGAGCGGACTGAGCATCGGGTGTTTGGAAAAATTAGGACCCGTATACGACAGAAGAGCCCGTCAATAATATTCCGGTAAAAATTCAAGTCTCAGTGCGATCGTGACAGTGAATGTGTTAAATAATTTACATACCACCCAATTAGCCACTTGCCCTTTCGGCATCATTTGCATCCATTTATTTATAATATTTCGAAAGTCAGACGGTTTTGAGTTAGCGTCTGCTTCCACTATAAATTTGAAGTTGAACGGGACGTGCGCGCCACTGTTGTAATACTCGATTGTATGTTCCCAACTGGTATACGCTTCCGTTAATATCACCTGTCGGGTGAAACAGATATTTCAATATTGAATCATTCGGAAAATAACAAGTTTCCTGATAAAATTTCACTGGAATCGAAGAAGTAGAACATTTTCTTTTGTTCACCTTCTCTGCTTCATTTCTTTGGCTAGCGTATTCGTCCACATAATCTCGCCAACTCTGCACTAATTTGTACGTTTCAGGCTGGTCTTTCGTTAAAGTATGATTGTAAGATGCGTGAAGTGTTGTATTATATGTGCTATTAAATAAAGGTTCGTCTTGTGTTATATTATTTTCGATCAAGTGTGGTACAGCATCGATTCGGAATCCGTCTACTCCTTGATCCAACCAATACCTTAAAACATTCTGAAAAACAAAGGAATGATGTTAACTATCAATATCAATACATATGTAGTTCAATGGAACATCAGGAGTCTTTGATGTATACATATTATTCTAGTGTAGAAGGATTTCTATCGGCAATCCTGTATAGAGGTAAGGATTATAGAAAAATTAACAAAGGACATTCAACACTTAACAAAGTATCAAAATTGCCTTTGGATCACTGAATAATTCAAACATTTAGTATTTCAGAATAAGTTTTTACTCCTGCGTATCTAATTATATGCGAGTGTAATTAAAAATTTTAAATTTACATACAAATATACATGTACCTTCATTTCTTGTTGTACATCAGGATTGTTGTAGTTTAAGTCTGGTTGTTGATAATAGAACTGATGATAATAAAACTGCTTTCTCTGATCATTCCAAGTCCAAGCCGACCCATTGAACACGCTGACCCAGTTATTAGGTGGAAGGCGTTCTCCAGTTCCATTTACGATAATCCCATCATTCCATATGTAATAATCTGCATATTTTCCAGTGCGATTTATGCTCAACTGGAACCACTTATGTTTGTCTGAAGTGTGGTTGGGAACGAGGTCCAAAACAAGCTAAAAATTAAGAAACCAATATTTGAAATAGAAAATTTTGGAAGTCGTAAAAGAATTTTCTAATGAACGTTGCAAATGACTGTTGAACAGTGTTATCATGGTACCTGATTGGAAATATGAATTGCTCGAAAACTTACAACAAAGGGTATCGAATACCCATCGCTGTTTCTTATCATATTTTGTCTACTTATTTCAATTTTACGGGACATTTCACGCCGATACATATGATACTACGTACCTTTAGATTCTTCTTTCTCGCTTCCGTCGCGAGCTTCTTAAGATCAGCGGAAGTTCCAAAAACTGGATCGACTTCTAGGAAATCTTCTATGTCGTATCCAAAATCAACCATGGGACTTTTGTAAATCGGTGACAGCCAGATCGCGTCTACTCCGATATCGTTGAAGTGACTAAGTTTGTTCGTTATGCCTGTCGAAAATGAAAATAATTAAAAACAAATACGGATCAGTATCCGTATGTGAAATCAATAATCTTATTATTGGGGGTATATCAAAATTTTTGTCAAAATAAAAGCCGTATACAGTAGACTCTTTATGAGTTTACGCACTCAATACTGTAGAGGAGTAAATTATTGGGAAACGAGAAGCTAACAAATGCGCTAGCGAAACAACTCGAAAGTAAGAGGTGAATATTGCGAACAGTTAGCGAGTGGTTAATTATCGAAAGTTTACTACAGCTACAATTGAAAAAGTCCAATATTCAATATTATTTTCTAAATGAATCAGTTTTCAAATGTAATGCTAACAAGAAAATTACTTTTAGAAAGATTTTTTTTTTATTTATTATTCGAATTGAAACTTGAACAAACGGTGGAGATTATGAAGGCTGTGTTCACTGCTCTTCGAAATCCATAAGTTTTTTGAGATTGTATCCTAGTTACTGATAGTTGCCATGTGTAGTTTGATTCGCTGACAAGTGTCAAGTTCTGATAAAATTAAATGCGTTTATGTATATAAGCATATGAACGAAGAAAAATCGAATACTTAAACGTATATTTCACATTTTAAGTTATCCTTTCTTCTATACAGTATTTCCTGTTTTATTATACGACTAACTGATTTAGCTATTATAGACCGTTATGAAATAGTATTATCATAAGTATTATCGATACATTTTTGCAATTATTATTATTTTTGTTTCAGGTAAGTGGCAAGTGCAGATAACTATATCTCCTCGTATATATCCTCGTAAGTAGATAATGAACATTTCTTTAATTCGTTAATGATAAGTATTTATATCTTGTTCACAAAAGAAACTTTTTATATTGAAGAAATGTTACTGTTTTTGTAAGACTATACATACATTCTTCTAATTACTATTAAACGTGTATCGTACGTTACATCACCTGCATTAAAAAGAGGAAGTAGACTGTCAGAAGTGCAATTACTACTGAATCACTCTTATCTTTTGTTATTGCACATTATGTCATTCTTGAGAAACGGAATTGTATAAAACACAAGATGAAATTCCGGAATGTTGTTTTAAAAAATATTGTACTATCATCTTGAATGTCGGGTGTTCGCGGAAAATCAGGGGCGCGCCTATAATTTTTCGAACCCTAGACATAGAATGAAAATTGGAGCCCTTCTTACATACACACTTTTAATTTAAATTTAAAATTCGAAGTCAGCGGATTTATTTATTTTATCCAGTAATTACAAACATCTCTGTGCAGGCCCCCCTTTTCATCGGACCCCAGTCACATGCTTATTATGCCTAGCAAAATAGAATAGAATAGCAAGCAAAAGAAAGAATAGCAAGTGAAAAGTTTAAATTAGAAATTGAAACCATTGTATTTTTAACAATATAAAATTAATTGAGTAATAATCGAAATTTGAAAATGATATATTTTGCAAAATCGATGCAAAATATTTGGAAATTGTGTCAACGGTAACAATGAGAATGACGCGATCGATGGACCAACTGTTTCACTCTTTTACGATCTTTCGAACGCTACTGGAGAACGGACAGAATGGCCTCAAACACAGGTCTCAGATTTCGTGACGCAAGAATTATCGATGCTCATCGCGTTACGAAACCGAGACACCTTCTCTCCCATGAACAATTTAATCACGATCGTAAATTTTATTTCACAGCTTGAATAGCGATCATAACGAAACATGAAAAAGAACGAACGTACAACCATATTTCATATCAGATTCGCTCTGAATGTTTTGAAAATTCTAATAAAGTTATTTAAAGTAGTGCATACTTCTGCTATGCCTCATGATCTATCTGCATTTCACTTTGATTGTAATAGGAAGGACTATCTTAAAAATTATATCCTTTCAATCTATGGAAATTAATACATTAATGATCATAGCTAAAATGAAAACGTAATTCCACTGTAGACATTCTCTTGTTTCTTAATGATCCATGGTTTTCAATAACGAAAGGATTAATCACCGAAGTGCAATTTAACAATAACGATATTAATTCCTTTCTTTTTTACAAAATTCTGAACTCGTTTAGTAAAACTTATTAAAGACAATAAAAATTTTCTATACAATAACGTAATCATGTTATTAAATATTGAATTGATATGAATTACGTATATTTTACTTAAAACGTCGTTCGAGATTAAAGAATTCGATCTTACCTTTCAAATCACCTACACCATCGTCGTTAGAATCCTGGAAGCTTCGTGGATAAATTTGGTAGAAAACGGTATGGTTCCACCAGCCCTTATCCTTGATCTCAGCGGACGCGAAGGCGACCGTTAGCAACAAGACAATGCCAACGAGATTGTTAGTGGTCTTCATGGTTTGAATTGTGCGGCACGCGATCGCGGTGCTCCCTTATATGTGAGCTTCGACGGTAAAAAAGAACGCTGACTCGTTGCGACGCGATAAGGAGCTGAGAGCGATAACGGAATATCGTAGAATTGAACGAGGATGCGACTCGTCGACGACCACGTTCATCGAATGATCCTTGTATGATCGTTGAAATCCTCAAAGAAACGGGCGATACTTGACATAACTAATTAAAAGCCGGGATGTACTTGGCTCCGCCAAAAATCGGGGCTGGCACATCTTTATCATCTTGAAATTCTACAATTTCAAGATTCGAAAATTCGAAAATTTTTAAATGAACCTGGCCTACTCCAGAAGAAGCCTCTAGTTACGTCAAATAATGTGCACTAATTTCTATTGAAATTATGTGAATTAATATTAAACTGATTCATAAATAATTTCCACTACATTGTTGCACGAATTAAGGTAAACATACGTGATTTTAGTGTAAACATTTTTTATTGCTCATAAGCAGCTTTAAATAGAAATACAATATGTCATGTTTATGTCGAAAAAATCATACATATGTCATATTAAAAAAAAAGATTTCTTGTATACTGCTGAACTGACAAAATACATAGTCATTAATAGAACTAGTTTCATCGAAACTGTATAAAAAACCTAATGCACCTTTCTCGAAACTATATCTTTTGAAATGGTGCCAATGATCTCCGAAAAATTAGTCTGATTAACAAAATTGAAATAATTTTTTTTTTTTAAATTCTTGGACTGTTGGTGGTAGTCTTATCGGTAACATTATTTAACGTAAATTAATAGAGGAACAGAGTATTTGAAATTTCTAAACGTTATTGATCATTGTTGATTTACTCTCAAGATAATAAGTTTCTGATTAATGATAATGTTATCATTGATAGCAGTTAACGTGAAGGAAGAAACAATAATCATCGAAAGTTTTGATTTGTTTTCATGTGCAATGCTATCAGTTTGACCGTGATTGTGTAAAACAATGGATTCTGAGACAATATACTATAGTATTGATAGTTCATACCTTATATAAAATTTTAACATGTAATTAATTAAACAATCAACGAAATTGAATGTTTCTTTTTAATACATCGGGGTGCAAACAATTTATTAATAACAAAATTCTATACTTCTTTACGATGTTTTTACGAAGTCCCATTTATTTGTTACGTACCTTAAATACCATTTTGGTCAGATACTTCGCAGAAGATTATTACCTAACTTCTGCTTGAGGCGTGTCTTATATTCAGGGGCCATTAATGGAACTTTCGCGGCATTAATAAACTGCATGATATCCATTACGGTTATACGCTCGTTATGCCTTTCGTATGGCTGTAAATTTAATAACTATGGAAATAAATAATTCTGTGATAAGTGTAATTTGCCCGATTCTCTGTAAATTGCACACGAATCGAGATATAAACATTTTATGATAAGTAATTTGGGCTTCTGCTCCTTTTTCGCGAAACAGAATTATTTCCAATCAAAATACACTTTATTATGAAGCCGTAAATATTTGATGTGTATGATTATAATTACAGTGTTATGACTAAATTATGAGCCCAATAAGTAACACGTGTTTTTTAATACATTAACGCTCAAAAGGAACCCAAAACGTTTGGTAGAATTTTTTTTATTTCTATTTAGTGAATATGCACTAAAGTTACCTAAGTAAACAGTTCACCGTGCACCTTCTCAGAGAGGAAGTCAATCTGCAGACGAATTTCGCGTGAAAACACGATGGGTTGTTAATCACGTGTCCGCAGCAAGAGTTTCGAACAACTCTTCCTGCGAACATTTTAAGTTCCAATTTTTTTTTTTTTATATCAAGAAGAAGCAGGCTTTAAACGTCTATAAAAAATCTGTAAACTCGTTAATATCATTACTTATTTAGTGCCGAAATTTTGAATGCTACAAAGCAAACTAGTTTGTACTTACCGATTCATTAAAATAATACATGAACGAAATAATGTCATTAGGGTTAATTATGTTAGAAAGAAGAGATTTTATAGGAGAAATACTAAATCACACCATATGCATCATTCAACACCGTTTATTTGTATCGTTTTAAATAATTTTCCCTCTTATTCTACACAATAAATAATAATCGATAAACACGATCGTGTCTTGTTTAAGAATTAATCGTTAGGAAATTGACGTGATTAAGTACCGTAGGAACACGACGATTTTTGATGCGCACATTAATCAGTGTTTTCCATCGCGTCGTAACAATAATATTAGCCTCTTTACTCGATACCTAGATTATAAGGGCATTTACAAACGTAACCCGAATGAGTTTCTGTTACGACCGGAAATACGAACCAAGTGCCAACACCAAAATCATCGGAACAGATTAGTTGGCTTTTCTGGAGCCCGAATGCAGCACCATTGACACTTTTGGAGGAAGAGTGACCTTTGATGATGCAAACTTGGTGCTGAAACACAACAGTAGAAAGGAACGTTTTTTAGACTTTCAATATATCAAAATTAATTCCATTTTGAACCCACCCGACGTGATTTTTGTTTTGCTATCATAAGTTAATTGCAACAAATTCCAGAGAAACATTGGTAAAATTCTTAGAATCCTACACTAGTGCAATTTTCTAAAAGTTCTCAAATTGAACATAACTTAAATTCGAAGCATTCGAACAGATTTATCAAATAATTAATCTAATTTAATTAACTCAACACGAATATTAATTAGGATCCATATAATTTGCTTACTTTGACTGCACTTTGGAACCCACGTTACTCAGGATTACAGTAGCACTGGTATATGGCAGCATACTCCTCAGATCAACTGAAACGCTTTTTTTTGAAGAGAAGTTTATCAAAAGCGTCACTGCTTCTTTTTTGATACTCCGTACTACAGCCAATACGTCGTTGTTCAAAACTGCCGTGGTCAGCTTGCCATGTTGGAGTACATTGCTCTTTCGCAGAGTAATCAATGCTTTGTAAAGCTTGTAATGAGACACGGCATCCGTTTTCTGCTTCTTCAAATTCAGAGTTTTGTAGTTTTTGTTAACGGGTAGCCACGTCTTGCTGGCATTACTGAAACCTGCGGGTAGATTTTAATTGCAGACGATACATTGAATCTCAAATTTTCAAGATTGATCAAATTATATATGAAAGGGATGATATAATTCCACGATATCCTTTTTGCTCAAAATTAGAATATCGTAGTATGAAATTAGTAGAGTTGCGCGAGAACCCGCAAATTTTGGGTACCCGAGTATCAGGTAGAACTCAACCCGATCCAACACGATTTACCTAATTCAACCAATTTTTACACAACCCGGCCTGATACTTTCAGCTCCTCGCATACTTCTGGAAATCAGATACTAGCTAAATCTTCTTACCTGCATTCATAGAGTCGTCCCATTGGAATGGTGTACGAGAGCTATCACGAGAATCGAATATTTCGAGTCCGGTGTAGTCCACCATGCCGATTTCTTCTCCGTTATAAGTAACCGCTACACCAGGCAAGATCATCTCCAACATTATCATCTGATCCCCTCTGCCAGGATAACGTGTGCTTAGACGTTTTTGATCATGATTTCCCATCTGCAGAAACGTGAATATTTTATCGAATGTAAAATAATTTTATCAAAATTGAAATGTTCGACTTATGAACAACAACCGCGTTAGCTATGATCTATTAACGTAGATGCGTGCCATATGTGACGATAATGTTAATGCATTGAACTGTTGCAATGGTCATTGATGATTACACAGCGAATTTAATACAGTCGAATGATTGAAAGAAAAAAAATTCGTTTAAATATATATTTTTACTTATTTCGTTTACTCAACGAATGTTGACGACTCTCAGTTCGCAGGGATATGACCGGACTAATCATCGGGTGTTAGCCCGTCAATAGTATTCCGGTAATAATTCAAGTCTCACAATTAGTGCGCCCGTGATAGTGAATGTGTTAAATAATTTACATACCACCCAATTAGCCACTTGCCCTTTCGGCATCATTTGCATCCATTTATTTATAATATTTCGAAAGTCAGACGCCGTTGAGTTAGCGTTTGTTTGTGTTATGAAAAAGAAGTTGAACGGAATATCCGAGCCATATCTGTAATACTTCATGGTATTTTCCCAACTGGAATACGCTTCCGTTAATAGCACCTGTAAGATGAAACAAATATTTCAATATTGAGTCAGTTTCCTGATAAAATTTCACTGGAATCGAAGAAGTAGAAAATTTTCTTTTTGTCACCTTCTCTGTTTCATTTCTTTGCCTAGAGTATTCGTCCACATAATCTCGCCAACTCTGCAGTAATTTGTACGTTTCAGGCTGGTCTTTCGTTAAAATATGATTGTAAGAGTAGTAAAGTGTTGGGTCGTATGTTTCATTAATTAAAGGTTCGTTTTGCGTTATGTTGCTCTCGAACATGAAATATACAGAATCAATTCGGAAACCGTCTACTCCTTGATCCAACCAATACTTCAAAACCTCCTGAAAAGCAAAGGAATGATGTTAACTATCAATCTTTGATGTATACATATTATTCTAGAGATAAACATTTAATTTCATCATTTTTTATGGAATATAATCGCATGTCTTTCTATGTATATATAGGTACATGTACATACATACATATATGTGTTTGAAATATATTTTAAATACAGCAGACTTTCGATAACATTCCGCGCCAGGGACTGTGAAAATAGCTAGCAGGACAGCAAGAGGTAATTTAAAATTTACATACAAATGTACATATACCTTCATTTCTTGTTGTACATGAGGATTGCTGTAGTTTAAGTCTGGTTGTTGTTTAAAGTTCTGATGAAAATAAAACTGCTTTCTCTGATCATTCCAAGTCCAAGCCACCCCACCAGTAATGCTCTTCCAGTTATCAGGTGGTTGGCGTTCTCCAGTTTCATTTACGATACCGTCATGCCATACGTAATAATCTGCATATTTTCCAGTGCGATTTATGCTCAACTGGAACCACTTATGTTCGTCTGAAGTGTGGTTGGGAACGAGGTCCAAAACAAGCTAAAAATTAAGAAACCAATATTTCAAATAGAAAATTTTTGAAGTCGTAAAAGAATTTTCTAATGAACGTTGCAAATGACTGTTGAACAGTGTTATCATGGTACCTGATTGGAAATATGAATTGCTCGAAAACTTACAACAAAGGGTATCGAATACCCATCGCTGTTTCTTATCATATTTTGTCTACTTATTTCAATTTTACGGGACATTTCACGCCGATACATATGATACTACGTACCTTTAGATTCTTCTTTCTCGCTTCCGTCGCGAGCTCCTTAAGATCAGCGGAAGTTCCAAAAATTGGATCGACTGCTTTGAAATCCGATATGTCGTATCCAAAGTCAACATTGGGACTTTTGTAAATCGGTGACAGCCAAACCGCGTTTATTCCGATATCTTCGAGGTAGTCAAGTTTGCTCGTTATGCCTGTCGAAAATGAAAATAATCCGTATGTCACATCAGTATCCGTATGTGAGATCAATAATCTCATTATTGGATATGTCAAAATTTTTGACAAAATAAAAGCTGTGTACAGTAGACTCCATATAAGTTTACGCGCTCACGACTGTAGAGGGGAAAATTATTGGGAAACGCGAACTTAACAAATTCGCCTCTTCCCCTCTCGCCGAAGCAGCTAACGAAACAATTCGAATGCAATAGGTGAACACAAGCATATCGAAATATTTCACAATATTGGTGATAGTACGTCTGGCAGATAATAATAGGCCTCTACTATAGCTACAATTGGAAAAGTCCAATATTCAATATTATTTTCTAAAGGAATCAGTTTTCAAATATAATGCTAACAAGAAAATTACTTTTAGAAAGATTTTTTTTTTTTTAATTTATAATCCGAATTGAAACTTGAACAAAGGATAGAGATTATGAAAGCTGTGTTCACAGTTCTTCGGAACCCATCAGTTTTTTGAGATTGCATCCTAGTTACTGATAGTTGCCATGTGTAGTTTAATTCGTTGACAAGTGCCAAGTGCTGATAAAATTAAATGCGTTTGGGAATGTAATCCAGAGAAGCATATGAACGAGGATTCTAGTAAAGTTATTTAAAGTAGTGCATACTTCTGCTATGCCTTGTGACCTATCTAAATTTCACTTTGATTGTAATAGGAAGGACTATCTTAAAAATTATATCCTTTCAACCTACGGAAATTAATACATTAATGATCATAGCTAAAATAAAAAGGTAATTCCATTGTAGACATTCTCTTGTTTCTTAATGATTCATGGTTTTCAATAACGAAAGGATTAATCACCGAAGTGCAATTTAACAATAACGATATTAATTCCTCTTTTTTTTTGCAAAATTTTGAACTCGTTTAGTAAAGCTTGTTAAGGATAATAAAGGTTTTCTATGCAATAACGTAATCATGTTATTAAATATTGAATTGATATGAATTACGCATATTTTATTTAAAACGTCGTTCGAGAATAAAGAATTCGATCTTACCTTTCAAGTCACCTATACCATCGCCATTAGAATCCATGAAGCTTCGAGGATAAACTTGGTAGAAAACAGTATTTTTCCACCAGCCCTTATTCTTGATCTCAGCGGACGCGAAAGCGACCGTCAGAAACGCGACGATGCCAACGAGATTGGTGGTGGTCTTCATGATTTGAATTGTGCGGTGTGCGATCACGGTGCTCCCTTATATATGAGCTTCGACGGTAAAAACGAACGCTATACTTATTTACAATACTTTTTCAAAGTCCCATTTACTTGTCACGTACTGTAATTACTACTTTGGTCAGATATTTTGCAGAAGATTATTATTATCATTATTACCTAACTTCTGCTTGAAGCGTGTCATAAGGCATATATCATAAGACATAAGACAATATAAATTCTGGTGCCACTAATGGAACTTCCACAGCATTAATATATCATAACTGCATGATATCCATTACGGTTGTACGCTCGTTATGCCTTTCGTATGCTTGTAAATTTGACTATGGTAATAAATAGTTCTGTGATAAGTATAACCTGCCCGATTCTCTGTAAATTGCAGACGAATCGAGATATAAACATTTTATGATAAGTAATTTCGGCTTCTACTCGTTTTACGCGAAAGAGAATTATTTCCAATCAAAATACACTTTATTATGAAGCAGTAAATGTTTGGTGCGTATGATTATAGTTACAGTGTTATGATTAAATTATTAGCCCAATCAGTTATACGTGGTTTTTAATCCGTTAACGCTCAAAAGGAACCCAAAACTTTTGGTAGAATTTTTTCTGTGTCACGCGACTGTATCCATTTTCCAAGTACACATGCATGTACTTCTGCTTCTACCTTTGTACGTAAAGTGGTAAAAAGAATTGAATGATAAATAAAGGGCACATGTAGTTCCTTTAAAAGCAGATGCATCATTGCATTTACAAAAGAGAGAGATGAATCCGCCTACATCTTTTACTACTTTGAAGTAGCGTATAGTACAGTATGTGTGTACGCTCGCAATTAATGTATTCATCGCGTGTCCTTCAACTTGACACATTCAATCTTGCTCCACATTGCACATGCTTCGCCAGGAAAAAGAAAGCGCAGCAAGTTGACAAGAAATAATCGACAAACTCTTCTGAAAGTTTGTTCAATGATACGTCGAAACAATTCGACGAGAGACGGTTCAACACGAACAACACGTTCGCTGATTTTAGTAACTTGAAGTTCTACATATAATCTGAATTCCTTTCGTGTCCGGAAAAATAAATGATAAAGTCACTTTTAGAAGTGATGCTTGTACTTTTAACACGTTGACTGCTAGGTATGTTATTTTTATTTAGGTGACAGTAGAATTTCCATATAGAAATTCATTAAGCATTCAGATTATGAGGAATTTCTCTATTTACCTAGTTAAAAGTATTCGTATTAGATACAAAGTATACGAGTATTTGAAATATACAAATAACTGTGTTACGAACAATTATTGAACATGAACAAATTTCTTTTAATCATTAACGAATAAGATTCAAAGAAACACACGATAATCTTAATTATTTCAAAATTAATTTAAAATCAATACATTATTTTAAAATATTTTAAAATTATTTTTAAACTAATACATGATAGGCTTAAGCCTCCATGATTCAGACACGTAACTTAGATAAGATTTCGTAAAAATCAAGATATTATCTAATGAAATTTTTAGCATTTTGCTTACAACGAATTTGAATGTAAATACTGAATACTTTTGCCGTGATATAGACAATGAATGAAATAATATTTCTGAATAATATACTCGTGTACATATTTTAATTTTTACTGCTTTTTGAGTGTATTTAAACAATTGTCCCCAACTCTGCTTGAGAGTTATTCAGATTAAAATTACAATCACTACTTTATTTTACTGTTTAACGTTCATCTTCTTTTACTATTCCCGTTCAGTTTCTAAGTTCTCGTTTTTCACTCTTGAGCCCAACTACGTATTTTAATGATTAAAAACGACATCCGTTATCTGTATTTCGATACACGTGTATACCATGCATACACATGTTTAGGTTAATGGTATAAATACCATTGATATTATGTATAATTAGCACTTAGAAAGTTATTAGGAAGATTAGATTTTATAATTATAGGTTTTACTAGCTTATCAAGGTACTTAAACTAATTACTAAACTAAAACTATTAACAAAATTATTATCTATCGCGAATTCGTCGTGGGTCGCAAGGGCACGTCTGCACCCGAACGTCGTCGTCTCGTCCATTGTCGTCAACCGAATGTCGATTTTTACGCGTCGAACACGTCGCGAACCTTTGCGATCTCCCTGCCCTTATCAGTGGAATCCAAAATATCCTGGAAACGTCGGCCGATACATCTCTTATTTCCTACATAACAATGAAACGATAGGCGAAAGATATTTAAAAATTAAAATTGATGAACCTGTCGTAATAACTAAGAATATGATACAATTAGAAAAAGAATTTCTACTCTAAGAATTGCATTGTAATTGAATTTCTTCAGCACCCATGTGTGGCTGATGCTTTAATTTCCTTTAGTGTTCATTAGCAATATTACAAGAAATTCCTTAGATAATTAAAAATACTCTATTTTCTCTGGAGATAAAATTGTAGACAAAATTTTGTTTTATAGATATTATATAAAATCATCTTTTCTATCGTTTATAATTTGAATAGAAACATCCACTAGTTTACTTATCATTTCGAAGGGCTAAAAAAGTCAACTTCAAAACGTTCGTCGCATCTTCGAATACCTAATTCTGTCACTTGTTGTCTGATTTACATTTCAAATGAAGTATGAAGGTTAAAAAAAAATTCCAGGGAGCAGCGCAGCTGTCTCTCAGTCACTGGAAAAGTTTGAGAAAGTCGACGAACAGAATTTTTACAAGCGCGTTACCGTCTAGGTGAATATCCGAAATTCAGCGACGATTATAAATTGGCAAGCGAAGTGACGTGGCCAGGTTGACACGGGAACCGATACATACAGCTTCCCTTCTCGTTGTTAGGCCAGTTTTACCTTCGGCAGAAGAAAAAAGTGAAAGGCTCGTTAATCGAATCTGGTCCGGATTCGTATCGTAAGCATGGAGCCGTTTGACGTACTCACTGTCTTCTGAATGTGGATCCAAGGTGAACGGAGGACTTTCGATTCGCATAATCAGAGTTTTCATTCTGTCTATGGTTACGTTAATTGACAGAGTTGTTATAAAGGAATTAACACTGACGACCTCTGACAAGCATTTGTGACTTCAGAACGTGGATTTTTATATTATTATTCTTTAGTAGGTATATATAATATACCAATTATATTTTAAGGAATGGTAATTTCACAGAGTACAGAATTAAAAGCTATGGAATATAGATTAATTGATAATTTCATTTTAAATAGAAAAGAACGTAAAATTATGTATCATAGATCTTATGAAATTTCAGGCTACAAAGTGTTAATTTTCATATGTTGGAAAAGTAATATCTAAAAAAAAAGATTTAGTTTAGAATTAATTTTATAAATTATAATTGATCTGTTCCCTTTCTACATACAAAAGTTTTGGATATGACAATGCATGCAATAAGGCGTCACTTCCATAGAAAAACAATAAGACTTTGATTTATCACAGCAGGGATTAGGTTGCAGTAAATAAAACGATAAAAGATTGTGCTCTTATTCTGAAACTAAAGCAGAGTCATTGGTAGCATGACACAAACTTAATGAATTCGATAAGTTATCGAACGCTGATAAGTTTATTATTTCTTCCGGTATTGCGAACTTTATTGCTGCGTAAATGCAACTATCACTTTGATTTTCCCTGAAGAAATTATAGTGCACCGAGATGTACAGGTATCGATCAACTATTGATCGAAAGACAATTGACTTATAAAACTTACGAAACGAAGAATTCCTGGTAAATATAGAACCACAAACTAATCATTTATAAAATTCTTAAATTTTTTAAAAAAACTTTTCGGGATTAGACCTCCATTACGCTAATAGTCTCAATTTATTTTATGTCTAGATTTAAATATTAGTTCAAAGTATTTCAGAATTGGTATATCGCGTGATAGGAAATCAAACCCGAGTTCTTGTCTTCCTCTAAAGTCTGCAGCATTTAGTTTCATACCTTTGATTAATCAAACGACAAGTTTTCAAAGTGTTGGAATTGTAAAACTTTTATATAATATTTATCTAGCATATTATCAGTAGCATATTAGAAATAGTTTAAATGAATACTTTCAATAAGAGAATGCTGTACCGAGGTGTTGCAGATATGTGATATCGCAGGACGCTCTCGATAAGATTTTGCTATCGTATCAAGGTAATATTAAATTATAGTAAAAACTCTGATAAGAACAGAAACATGGTTTTTTCTATAGGTTTTTGGGGGGGGGGGGGGGGGGGGGGGGGGGTTCTTTAGAAATGTAGAAAATTTCGAATTTCCAAATTTTGATGTTTTGAAATTTCAAAAATCTAAAAGTTTTGGAATTTAGAAATTCTAGGAATCTGAAATTTTAATGTTTTGGAATTTTGGAAGTTTGTAATTTTGAAATCGCGTAATTTTAGAATCTTATAATTTATAGTATGATGAGGAGGTCACTTTACATTTTCGAGGAGTTTAGGTCTACTCTGGTCCCTAGCTAGACCCGTCTTTGATCCAACGTTATATTCAGCACATTTTATTTGCATTTTTAATTCGTACGAAGCTAATGTCGAAGAGGGGAAAATTACTTTGATGGTACACTCGGTAACAATATAAGCATGTAAAAATGGACCTTTCTAAGGGCGAAGGTACGAACTCGTTCAACGCCGAATCGCGTCATCAGCTTCGGTTTGTCACGCTTACGAGTCTGTGCACTGAATTTTTACAACTGCTCATCGAAACGCGACAATTGAATCGGGAATTTCACGTTTTCCCTTCAGTTCTCTCTTTTTCACCGAATTCGCACTTTTATTCGTCGTTTTTACCCGTTCGAAAACGTCGGATTTCTAGCTGGAAATTTTACGATCGAACGAGCCTCGGGGATGATGCACACGGGGATTCGACGAACCTTGCCGCTTTCCAGGAATTTCAGGAATACGAACGGCGAATGCTTCGCTATTGTTACGAGCTCTCTTTAACTCTTTCCGCTACCGATGCAAGAAAATAATTAAATCAGATATT